ATAAGTTTTTGTTAATAAAATAAGAAATGTAAATAACTTTGAAACATTGACCTCTAATTTGTACCAAAATTTTAGTAGGAAATATCATGTCAATTGACTGGTATCAAAATGAGCATGCAGAGGGCATATATGGAAATTAGCACATCTCTACCTGTCATGTCAACTGCCAACTATTATCCAAGTCATGCAACCACCATCTATCCGGGCTAATGCTCGTTGAGTCATTACAGCCGTACACGTGTTGTACTTGTATTGGCTGCTCGTTCTAATTTATCAGCCATCATTGTCAAGTTTGCAGAGAAATAATAAGAAAGTTGTTCGTACTATATCACCATTTATAATTTTCAATAGATTGATGAGATTTGTTTGGAAAAAAAAAATGGAAAAAGGTTGATTCCCAACTTTAAAGGCTACCATCGTTTCGTATCTAGAATTTTGTGAGGGAGATAAATCACGGGATGTGTCCTAGCAGGATAGGGAACAAGAGCTGTCTGTACACTGTGCCTACAAGGAATCCAATTTTATTTCTCAGGAATCGAACCCCCACACTGTAACTATCAGCAATGTGTGAGATAACCTAACTCATGTTTTTTGCACCACCGGACTATATCCCGAGGGGCGAGATTTTTTTTTCTTTTGACTTTTTTACTTATTCATTTATTTATTTTCACTGAATTTATTTTTCAGCACGGATTTCTTTTAGCTTCCAAATTATAATGTTTGGAATCGTGTCCTTTTTGAAAAACATATGATTAAAAAGAATGAATATTTTTACGATTTACGTGTAATATTATTTTATTGAAAATTGTATAGTTTAAAATAGGACCAAGTTACTTGTACCCCGAGCGTTTACACACCCCTCACATGGGGAGCGGGGCCCACGTATGTGTGTAAACGATCTAGTACAAATCAAATTTCCATTGAAAATAAGAAAGAGGAAAAAATGAAAGAGAATAAGGGCCAAATGGGGAGCTTAATTTCATGAATCGGATTTCTATTATTCTCCCGTATGATAAATTTTATTATTCTTTTATATTTAATCATATGAGTAAGCCTAGTCAATTTGATGTTAAATAGATTTTAATATCATTAATTCTACGCATCATCTTTTGGTTTGTAGTTTGAACTCATCATTAAGGTTTTTCAATCCCATAAATACATTACGAAGTTAGCGCGAATATTTCGAAATGATACCAAGAATCTGCTCCGATGAATGAAAAATTATAGCAAAAAGTAAGGCAAAAGAGTTTATGTTAAAAAGGGAATTAAGAGATAAATTGGATAATTAAATCCAATTCCAGCCATATTTTTTACTTCTTGTATTGAACTCATTGAGTTTAATGGTATTTGAATTTGAAAGATGTGATACAAAGTTTGTCACGAATACTTAAAAAAGGTACCTAGAACCCTCCTGAGAGTGAAAAAAGTGGCTCATAAATAAGCTGAAATAGATAATTCCAAAATAGGAATGCAAAGATAAAAAGCCTAAAATAACAAATTATGAGATTTTCTAATTTTTAGGAGTAATGTTATTTAGCCCCAATGAGATTATAATACTAACGCTAATATGATGTTAAATAATGGGTGAAATTAAATATGTCATTTAATTTCATTTTTTATTTAGCCTATAATTAAACACCATATAGATTGATGTTATCACTCAATAGGACTAAATAGCGTTATTCAATTTTTAAAGGCTCTGAAACTTGCTCCTGAAATGGCATCGAGCCAAGTCAATTTTATGATCTTGCCCATGTTTGAGCCCCATTCTTTGCAAAAATTGAATTTTTCAACAGTGTTTTAACATCATTTCAATCATACATTTTTCAATAAAATAATATTACATACAAATCCAAAACTTTACCTTAATTTTTAACCACACATTTTCTATCAATACACTATTCGAAAATTCATTCTTTCCTACAAAATGGAAACAAAACAAAAATAGAAAAGATACAATTAAATATCATCTTAAGTGGTCACTATGTATAATCAAACTTTAAAAACATAGCCAAACATGCTATACCGAAAAAGTTACACATCATGTAACTTTATAATAAATCAATTTAATTCATCGATGACATCAAGAATCATTTTGAAGTAACAAATAATCAAGGTATGTGCAGTATCTGGAGGAGGTAGGTACGTTGGAGATAATGAACATCAAAGCAAGCACACAAAATAAATGAAGATTTTAGCTTAATTTTCTTCATTATTATGGTCTAAAGGCCACCACAAGTGTATATATATATATTAAGAAATGATAAGGGTTTAATAAATAAATTGTACATATTGGGAATTTTTCTCAATCTATTATGCATTCGAGGAGAAGACATAAATCAACTTTATAGTATTCATTTCTTTGTTACTTTAGCGGTGGATTTTCAACTTTGGAGGCTCGGCATGGAATTGTGTAATTATGTACTTAGCATTTGAGTTGGATTAGTTTGTAGAGATTGTTACTTCAGATTTGTTTTAACAATATAATATATTTTACATATTACTGTATAGTTTACTATACATAATTTTTATTTCACCTTAATTAATTATTTGATAAGAGGCTGCTCTTGTTGTTTGAGCTGGATCTTGATCACACTTTTCACTTGTTAAACATGTGATAAAATCTTTCATTTTTGTTTTTTAGTTTAGGTAGGTTGTCCTGTTGGCACAAGCTTGTTGGATTCAATTAATGAATAAAGCAAGGGTTTGTTTGGGAGTGATTTTGAAAATTGAATTTTTGATCGTTAGGAAAAAAGTGGGGTCCACCTGTGAGAGAGGAAGTCAAATATGACGGCTGAAATAGTAAAATAACGGTCAAAAAATCAATTTTTTGAATGAAAAAATTGGGGCCAAATTGGCTCCAACTTGCAATGCAATTTGTATGTTGCAACTTGCTAGTGCTAATCTTCTTGACCTCATAATTGCGTGCTGCAATACAAGTGATTCAAAACTCTCCAATAATATTGAGAGAGGGTAGACCCCACACCAATGATGAATTTCCTTTTCCAACTGTCAAATTCAAATATATCAATCATTCTTTACATGTATTTAGTGACGGGAAAATTTTTTGATAAACTCGATATTCGTGGGATCTCATCCCAAACGGGATGGAAATTCACGCACATAATTGGGTACACAAGGCGAGGGAGGAAGCAGGGGGCGAGACAAGGGTCATGTCCTAGACGAGAACGGAAAAGTACCAGCTTAAAGTCTGTTTCAAGATATAAGGTTGTAATCGTAGAAAAAAAATCTTTTTATAAGCCTTTCTAAAGGACGCATGAAGTATTTGACAAATGGAAAAAAATTAATGATTTTCACTAACTAAATATCTAAAAAAATAGAAATAACGCGATAAATAGGGCCTACCCAATCTTGCCCACGTACCCACCCTTAAGCTGGGATGGGAGCGAGGCAAGGAGAAAAATCCAAATGGGACAAACGAATGATTCCACGGACCTCGAACTGCCTCACTGTTATCCTAACGTGTATTTTTGTCACTTAATTTAAACAATGCTCTACTGAACAAGAATGACCCCAATATCTATAAATAAAACATGTTAGTTTTCTAGTAAACTCAAATTACATATTAAAATATACAAATTTCATTGGAGAATTTCTCTCCTTTAACGTAGGGGTATATTATGTAAGCACAAATTGTCGTAGGATGCAGCATTATCTTAAATTTTCCTCTAAACTTTTATGTATTACAATAAACAAATTCATTTGACAATTTTTGTCTTTGAATGTCGTACAAGGTTCCGACTAAGGGTATATTAGGTGAGCATAAGTGTGTCAACGAGCCCAAATTTTCGGCTCAGACTATTGCAATGCGAGCTTTGTTTTGCCCGAGCTGAGCAAAAGCTTAGCAAAAATTTAAGGCTTGACCTGAGCTTTCGGCTCAAGCCTTACCGGCTGTCGGCTTGGCTCAGTGTTTTGGAATTTTTAAATTTTTTTTTTTAATTTCTCTCCTCTTAGCTACCAAATTGGCGGCATAATTTTTCTTTCTATTTTTTTAGTATGAGCAGGCTCGACTCGAGCCGTCTCCCCTAAATAGGCTCGGTGTCTCTGAGCCTCGATCGGGTCGAACAACGGGCGACCCGAGCCGGAGAGACCGATTGCCATAACTAGGTGAGCACAAGTTGTAATAGGGTGGGACATTTTCTTCAATTTCCCCCTAACTTTTACTTTTATCTATTTTAATGACTCCAACTTGGTACCTGTCCCTGTGCCTGCCTCTACCTCCAACCATTTCCACACGGGGTGGAGACGAAGAATATGGTTCTTGACTCAAATCTTATTTATTATTATTTTTTTACTTTTATGATTTAAATAATATTTATGAAATAAAAAATAAAATATGTAAATGAGAATATTTTCATCTATGGTTTAACTCCCACGTGGCAACTCGAAAATCTCTTACAAGGCAGGGACTAAGGAGGATGATCTAGGCCTTGTTCAGTGCAGTTGTCATCTCTAAATAAATACTTTCTCTCTTTTGAAAGTTATTGATTAGAGCGATATAATAAAGTGCTTGTTGAATGATACTATATATATATATATATATATATATAGTATCATTCAACAAGCACTTTATGCGTATTTAAACTTCGTTAGTTCAAAGTAAAATATTCTTCAAAGATTGAATATTTTATTTTGCTAAATTGTAACTTATTATACTATGACGTTCAATTGTTACTAGTTTTTTAACTTAGGAATAATAAATAAAACAAAGATTGTAATTTTACGATAAAGCTTTTTCTTCTTTAAAAAGCTATCTTCTTTCAAGTATGCATATTTATATTTGATCTTCTTTCAAATAAAGATAATTAGCTTAATAAAAGGTAAAAGTATAATTACGTGTTTTGTCATTTGGTTGTTTACTTAAATTTACAAT